ATGCGCTTGTGTGTGTATGTGTGTGTTTGTGTGTGTGTGTCCGCAGCAACTTGTCCGTAACTTTCAATTCGGGAACCACAAAAGATAGGAAGCTGAAAATTTAGGGGAACGTTCTCCACCTACGCGCGACCCCACAAATTTAAATTCAGCCTCTCCGTACCCGCGAGGAACAAGTGCGGCCCCGTAAAAGTTAGGGCGGGTAAAATTATTATCACGGGAACCACGGAAGCTAGAAGGTTGAAATTTTGTAGCCATGTCCCCAACTCATGTGATGCCCAGGAAATTTAAATTCAGCTTTCCCCTGCCTGCGGGTGGCATGTACGGCTACGCGAAAATTTTTGACAGGTAAATTATTATTTCGGGAAACACTGAATATACGAAGCTGAAATTTTAGTGTAATAACCCCCTGCCCATGCTCGACCTTGCCTATTCAAGTTCGGCGTTCCCGCTCTTTCGGGTGTCACCTATGGCCCCGTGAAAATTTTGGTGGGGAAATTATCTCGGGGACCATAAAAGCCAGGAAGCTAAATTTTATGATAATACATACAATCCTGAAATTTTAAATTCAGCTCCCTGCGCGTCCGAGTACCACTTATCCCGTGAAAGTTTCGGCGGGGCAGTGAAAATCATTAGCAGGCAATCTTTCGGTGAGCGGAATTGCACAAACACCGGCTGTCCTGGTGCGCGCCGCTATTTATTTCTTTTTTTCTCTCTCCATTGGCAACGCTTTTTGGTGAGGGTGGGCAGCTATAGTACTTCGAGCAGATCGAAATTTTTGGTGTAGCTAAACGAAAACATGTGATGTTGGCTCGCTAAAGAAACATGACACTGTGTAGATTTCTGTGCTTTTAGAAGTATGCAGTGATACGCTAATAGAAGAAGGTTTGGCTGAAGAAGAAATCGAAGAGGAACTTTCGGTGATTCGAGTACAGAAGGCGTTCGTGCTTCAAAAATTAGGCAGAAATGAAGATGCTTTCAAAATTTACTTGCGCATCCAAGATTTAAAGTGAGCAAACATCTAAACATTGTTCCGAAAAATTATTTTTTTTAAGGTTTCTATTTCATAAATAACTTAAAAATTACCACTGCTACCAAGACCGGCAGGGAATTCGCTGTGTGGCTCCGATATTAGTGGTGTTGCCGGGATGCACTGTTTCGCTAAGCGAATTTGTATCAGATCGAACATGTATATCATTTACTGTTGCGTTACCCTCACCGACTGTCAGCAGGGCAAGCAAAATGTCCTGTTCATCCGGTTATTTTCTTGTGCAAAAACACCTTAAATTAATAACTGATGTCCAATTATGTGGATTTGGAAAGAGTCGTTGCTTCATCGCTGTCTCTGTCACAGTCAGCATTCGCTCTGCTTTCATCAGTGATCACGTTTCTTAGCAGTAATCTCCTTCAGGGCAGTATTATTGATGAAGTGAGCACAGTCCTTCCATTTAGACACTGTTAAATTTGCGTCGTGCAATACGCTTTCCACGTGCAGTCTGTGAGCGAGAATCGCTGCAAATGTTTTTTTTCTGACTAAGATGGAAATAATTGTTAACATTTTCAAAGTCGGGGTTTTTTAACCGTTTGCTTGCCGGCACTTTGTATCCCCATCGTTCTTAGTGTGTTGATTTCCACACCTATTTCTTTTATGCGATAAATTCCCACAGCACTTGATCCAACTCGCGAAATCATTTCTAAAAGTTTATGGTTCGAAATATCGATAGTCATTCAATGTATTATTTTAGTGTTTCGGACAAAAGCGTTACCGCAACAGTTGCCAATAATATACCATCGGCTCGCAGCGAGCAAAATTTGCTGGAAGCACGAAAGAAGCTGAAAGCTGCTCTGCAAGTTGAAAATTCCAAGCTTACTTGTCGACAGCGACGTACACTGCTACTGAATCAGGTGCTCTGTTTTCAGCTTGGCAGAGTTTCTGGCTAATTAACTTTTATGGGTTTTACAAAATTTTTGCAAAATTTCAAGATAACTATCTCAGCGTTAGTTTACGAAGTTTTATCTCTTCCTGTTTCTCTCGGTATTCTTCAGGTACAATTCCTCCGTAGCTGCTCACTATTCTCTAGTGCAGGCTATGGTCGTTTTCAAACATTTGCAGATCCGAATTTTTCTCAGATTAAAAAATTTAGGCAAAAGTGTAATTACTATTCCAGCACCATACAGGACACTTCAGAATTTCAGTAAAATTCGCTTGAAATTCAACAGAACTTACCATCTTCCTACCGGAGACGTGAATCTCTTGCTTTTCAGTGGCGCATTTTTCGTCAGCAATATTCTAGATCTTGGGGGAAATTTTTATTGTTTCTACACTCACGCCTTTGGTATTTTAGGCTTTAGTACACCTCTTCTCAAACCAGCGTGAACCGTGTCGCCGAACTCTTGAAGAATTTGCAAAAAAATTTGGTCGCTGTAAGGAGATGACATTGGTTGAAGCAGCACTGCATGTTCGCTCGAAGGACTCGCAGAAGGCACTTGCGATTCTCGAGAGCGACACGTCGAACGAGACGAAATTGACTGCGCTGCAGATTTTGCTTGATGAAGGTAAAAAACCAAAAACTTCTTGAGATTTAGTTCTCTGAACCGTTGCTTTGAACAAATTCGGGAAATTGGGCCTCGAAATGATGTTTCTTTGTTTCAATAGCTTAGTATCTTTAGTGATCTCATTTGCCAGGAAAGTTGGAAGAAGCGAGTCAAGTCCTGAACGCACTTCCGCCGAAACTTCTGTCTTTTCCAGCGATATTGCAGTTGAAGGTGGCCATACTGTTGGCTACAAACCAACAGAAGGTATAACTTATGCTTTGATAACTTACGTTCCGGATACTTTGTTCATACCATATGAGCTTGGTTGACTTTGTTATGGTGCTGCTCTCCGGCTGAAGGTCAGGGATTTGTTTGTACCAGCCGAAAAACCAGTCGCTCCACGATTTGTTTATTCGTCTTCATGGTATGAGTCTAGTTGTATATGAGCCTAGTTCATGATATACTTATGATATGAGCCTAGTTCATGACATGAGCCTTTGATATGAGCCTATTGTAGACTTACAGAATTTCTGATTGTGAATTATTTTAAAAAACTACTATCGGTGGAATATCTTCCAAAAAAACTGCGAGATTCCATAACAAAGGAGTGTATTTACTATATGTATCGGTAATTCAGTGTAAAAAATTGTGTTGCAGATGGCGCTTGACGTTTTGAAAGACGCATTAGGTGCAGCGAGTGATAAAAAGCTCCGAGCTGAATTGCTGGAAGAGGTTGCTTCGCTTAACATACAACTGGAGGACTACCGTTCCGCTGTCGATTATTTACAACAGCTTTTCGAACTTCGCCCCGATGATCTGCAAGTCGTCTGTCGATTGATTAAAGCGTATGCAACATTTGACCCGCAAAAAGCAGAGGAGCTTTCGATGAGGGTATTCCCGCATGAGGACAGTTCCGACATTGATGTTGACGCACTGGAATTCTCGGATGCAGTACTGTATGGCGATCGTTATCGTCAAAAAAAAGAAACGAAAGTGGAGACACTGCCCGACACGGTCAGTTATCAGTTACTGCCATATCTTCTATGAAATTCTAGTTCAGACACATCGTTGCAAGGTAGGAATGGATTGCCGAGGCCTCTTTTTTCCTTCCTTAGACTGGGTCTTAAAAGGGCATTTGATTGTCTCCTTTGTCTCTTGTTTTTTTTTTTTTTTCAAGCAGCGGTATGATGTTGCATCACTTTGCAGCATTGCTCTTCTATAACCTGACAGCCTGCTATGAAGGCCTAAAATTGATGGGAAGGCTGTAATTCTTTCATTGCTGGGGCATTCGTATAAGGCAGACATAGCTGGGCAGCTGATAATTCACCACCTCTTCCTGCATCCATGCATTTGGAGTTGCTTTGAACAGTAATACATCACTTGTTGTTCAGCTTACCACTGGCTATCCTGACAGTTCTTTACAAATAAGGAAGAATAAGTTGTGCTTACTGAGATGTGGTATTATATGTGTTACAGTGCAAACGAAGGGTTATGGTGCCTGGTGGGTCTTTTTTTGTAAAGACGGAGTGTTGTGGCAGTTTGAACTTGCTTGACTGTAATGAATTTTTCAGGAAATAGTTACCAGTAAACGAAAAGCACGGAAACGTAAGCGCAAGATCA